AGTCCAGGCTTGTAGGGGTCCTGTGGCTTACTTGAATTCTCTTTAGCTAGGAACCAGTAGCAGTTCTCTAGGTGTTGAGTAGCTACAAATCCTAGCAAGCAACAGCAACCAAGTTGCAAATGTTACTTGCCTTGCTCTCCATTGCTGAACAGTAATTGGCATTCTGAATATCAGAAGTGGGTTAGCATAGACAGCCCAATAATTCTTTCAGCACAGGTTCCCTTTAATGCTATAGGTACCAAGCTGCTAGAGACATTTGCAACGTTTGGTGCAGACCTATCTCCACTTGGGGCCCATTCACACATATGGGTGCAGTGTGGTAATACACGTTTTTGGTGCATTGAGGCATCCCATTCATTTGAATTACCCCTAAATTTTCCAATAGAAACAAACTGACACTCAGTGAGTCCCAGTTTACACTTTTGCGTTACATGGAGGTGCGCCAAAAGTGCATTAGCACGTATTCATGCAATGCGTTATAAACATGCGGCCAGTAAAACTTGCATATTTGCCTGTGCATCCAACAAATGCGTGGTCAGAAAATGCGGACAGCTTGTATCTGGAAATGCTGCATGTGTTTCTTTGTCAAGTGTATAGTGCATGAGGCAGCCCTTGCAATGGTGGCAAGAATGCACGTGATGCGCACTCACGCATCATGAAAGTGTGAGCGGGGCCTAAGGCTGGCCTCAAACCTTTGGAGTGCAGTAATGCAGCATGTACCCAATTTGTTCATTGCCGTGCCATTCATATTAAATGGCACCTGAATGCCTTTGTGTCATACTACATGGTAATGCTCCACTGTGTGCTGTGGTGCTCTGCATTGCCACAAAAAGGGTCAGGTTCAGTTTGGGGTGCACCAAGGTGCATTGGCACCAGCCTCAAATTAATGTGCATGCAGTAATGCACCACATGGGTCTGAAGAGGGTCCAAATGGTCAGATATTTCCCAGAATCTTGTAAAAAAAATTTGCAGCACTGTCATAAGCCAAAAGGTTCGGCTCTGTGGAGCATTCATGTGAATGGAAGGGGGCGGGAACAATTTTGGGAAGAGTAATAGACTGCAGAAGGGTTTCCAACGTAATCAAATGTTCTGGTTGACTTGTTCAGGGCCCTTCATAAACTTGGACAGTCTGTCATCTCATGCTTATGTGTTGCATTAGATGGTGGTAGGGGGTGCAGGACGTCTAAACATGCACAATCCTATCCTGGGGCAGGCAGAGGGGTAGGCAGAAGAGGCTGCCATCTTGATCACTTCAGCATGAGGGGGGCACACTAATGAAGGACCTGCAACCTGCCCTGATAAGTGAGTTCACAGCTTATGTAGGGGGTACACTTTGCTCTGGTTATCCTTGGGTGCCAAGAGACCTTGTCCCAGCATTGCTCATATTGCTCAGTTGCTCATGTTTATGTGGTGGAGAAATGCAGCCCCCGTGCTGGATGACCGCACTGTGCTGCCTGAATTCACATGTGCTGAAGCTGCATTGGAGATTTTATTATCTTGTTATAGAGAGAGTATCTCTAGACAAAGCAAGACTATCCATGCCCCCTTGTGGGGATTTCCCTTCACTTCCTGTCCTGGACACACAATAGGAAGTGAAAGGAAATCTTTGTAAGAGGAAATTCCCTCTTAAGACCCATTCACACTGTTTCACTACATTAATGTGACCCTGGCCTATATGTTGAAACGTTGCCGGAATTCCACACTTCCGGAGTATGATTGCCTGCTCTTCCCTGCTGCATGTTGTGTTTCCTCCCGCTGGCTCATACGTCACTTCTTGACATACAAGCCAGGTAGAGCAGGTATTCAACCCGCCTAAGTGTCAAAGGACAGGGTCATTTTTTTCATGACACAAGTTACGCAAAGACAGCCTATTCATTTTGAGTGCATGAAAAACTGCACCTGCACTATTTTTGTCAATGCAGAACAGCCCAACGCAGGGCTCTTTTCCCTTGCAGGGTCCTATGCAGCCGCCCTTGTGTGTGCTAGTAAGTTGTGTGCATCCCAGCAAATACACAGGCACCGCAAGGGCCAGGCATTCTTCTGCTTTCAGCTTCTCCAAGCTAGTAGATGAACAGCTGCTGGAGACTGCTCTGTCCTTACTGGACAGGATGTTCAGGGAAGCTGAGCTGAGAGAGCTGGAGCGGTTCAGAAACATGATGACTGTAAGTGCTGGTTCACACCTGACAGTTTTGTAGTGCGTCCTACGCTCGATGAACGCACTACAAAACGGACCAAAATGTAAAAATCATTGAAGTGAATGGTATAGTTCCCACCTGTCCGTATTTCCGTCCGTCCCGAACGCACTACAAAACGGGCCACGCTTGAAAAGGTCCCGAAGCGTTTTTGATGCGTATTGGTCCGTTTTGTAGCGCGTTAGTGCCCAAAGACTTCGACGGGAACGGACGAAATCGCGCATAGAACGCGCGTTCCACACATGTCCACAGAAGACCACTCCCCCACAGAGCTGTTGTTGAAGAAGAAGATGGAGGATGCCATGCTTGAATCTGAGGCCTTCATAAAAAACGGACGAAAACGCGCGTGTGACGCGCTTATGCAATACGCACAGGTGTGAACCAGGCCTAAGTGCTTGGGCAAAAAGTTAAAGAAACCTTTTGCTGGGTCATGTCTATTTGATTTGGATTCAATATTGAAAAAAAGTTTGAGAGCTTAATATTACTTTCATCACTTTTGGCAATCTCTATTAGTTTAGGCCCGGTTCACACCTTTACGTTTTGTAGCGCGTTCCTACGCTCTACAAAACGCTCAAACACCGAAATTCCATTATTTCCTATGGGTATGGTTCACACCTGGGCGTATTACAGGCCGTATGAACGCGCTACAAAACGCCCTACGCCCAAAGAAGTACAGGAGCTTCTTTGGGGCGTATTTGCCGCGCGTATCCATTGGGATACAGACAGGTAGCCCTTGGAAACGCACGTTTTTTACAGCAAATCGTGGTAAAAATGCGCAACAAACGTGCATATTGGATACGCTTAGGTGTGAACCCAGCCTGAGGCCTGGTTCACACCTAGGCGTATTGCATATGCGCGTCTGTGATTCGCGGTAAAAAAAATTGCGCGACAAACGCGCGTTTCCGAGGGCTACTTGGCTGTATCCCAATGGAAACGCGCAACAAAAACGGCCCAAAGTAGTACATGTACCTTTTCAGGAGTGGGCCGTTTTGTAGCACGTTAGGGACGGGCTGAAATACGCCAAGGTGTGCATCAGACCCATTGAATACAATGAGATTTATATTTTTGAGCGTTTTGTAGAGTGTTCGTCGAGCGTAGAACGCGCTACAAAACGTTCAGGTGTGAACGAGGGCTTAGAGCTACTATGGAGAGTTTTAGCAGCTCAGTCATGCGTCTACAATTACTAGGAGGAGCAACTGATTGGGGAAACAGGACAACTCACTACCTTTGAAGTCATGTAGTAGAATTTTGTAGCAATCACTTCTGTATGATGGGAGCATTGTGCAATTGAGGCAGATTGATCAATGCTGCATCCTACTTGTATAGCTTACTCCATAGGCAGCCATGCGTCCCACCAGCGATGAATTGCTACTCCTAAACTCGAGGCTGATATAAAAGATACAAATTAATCCAGAAATGTTTTAGTTTGTTTTAAATACAAGCAGTGTATGCACCTGATTTTCTCCTCTCACTTTCCCTATACAGCAGGGATGGAGTGCGCAAGGAATAAGCAGTACAAGGAGCCAAACAGTTTATGTGCTGAAAAGAAGCATGCTGATGGGAGGTGAAAGCAGAGTGACAGAGAGATCAACGCATCACTGTGCTGATCCTCCTTTCATGGTCCAGTCACAGCCTGGGGGCGGGTCCAGTACAACCTGGGTTTAAACGTAATGGGTTGAATGATGCTGGCCGTCAGACTGAGGGCATCTAGTGGTGGAGAAATGTACTGCAGGGGAAATATCTGAATTGATGGTGAATATTGTAACAACGCTGGTTTTGTTATTTTATCTTTATTTGGCACATTTTGGGGCTGGAGTTATGCTTTATCTGTTAAGCTACTAAAATCTCCTGTGTAGCCCTAGCTTAGTGAGATGACTGCCAGCAAGTGTAGCCCTAGACTAGTGAGATGACTGCCAGCAAGTGTAGCCCTAGACTAGTGAGATGACTGCCAGCAAGTGTAGCCCTAGCCTAGTGAGATGACTGCCAGCAAGTGTTAAAATCTCTCAGCAGCAAGAGACTAAGGGCCTACTAATATTTCTGCGTTGCAATAACAAGCACTATTGCAATGCATGCTAATGCATGTAACATACATTACTGCATTGCAGTGCTGTTTATTCTTTGGCAATGCACTTGTGTTGTAGTGCATGGTCATGCAATGGTAGTGCTTTGCAGTACCTTATGTTACAAAAAAAGGGTCATGTCCAATTTTTTTGGGCACCTTGGGGTGCATTGGCAGCCCATTAATTTCAATGGGCTGCCTTAATGCAATGCATGTTAATGCATGACCTAACACACATGAACGCCTTGCAATTAAGTAAATGTCAAATCGCCGGTGTAGCTTAGCCCTGGTGGACATAGCAGAGCGCGTGCCCTGTTTTTAATTGGTCTTTTGATGCAAAGCGCAGTCAATGCACCAGAATGCAGCGGGTGAGATTTGTCCCAGCATGCCTCTGCGCGACACTTCTGCTTCAGCGTGACTATCTTAACAAAATGCTGGAGTGCATACAGTATATGCCTTTTACCTGCATTGGGGAAAGCAGCAGGATGCATCCAAAGGCTCCAAGTGTGCACAATCCCCTTAGAATGGAGGGAATTAAAGTCAGCCACAGGATATTAAAGATAATTCCCTGGCACTGCAGCTGGAGACTCACTAGGCAGCCTGAGCTTGCACTGTGGTGCCACCCTGCCTGTCCTGACTTCCCCAGTGCCAGGAGGCGGGGCTGACTCCGGGGGGCGTGACCAGGCTGTCGGCTCTGTTTTTGCTCCTTGGTTCCTCCCCCTGCAAAACAAAACTTTGATTGCAGCAGAGCAGACAGCAGTGGAGCTTGCAGCTGCCAGTCAGGGTGAGTGAGGAGCTTGGTGTGGGGCAGCCTAAGGGGCCCCTGGAATTGCTTGCCTTTCTTATCTGCTCTCTGTGGCCCCTGTGGAGTTGGGATGTAACCAGGTCTGGCTGTGCCATGTATTGGAAAGGCGATCAGATGTTTCTATGTAAACTGGAAGACAAGGATATCCCTGCGGTGCATTCTGACAAGGTAAGGCTGCTCAGACAATGGGGGTTCGTCCTGGAGGGGCCAAGTTGATATTTCTATGGGGGAGGGGGGGGGGGTGCAGAAATAGATAATGTAAAAAAAATATGATAAATGGCAGAAGTTCCAGTGATACTAATGCAGAAATGTTCTCATTGGCTTCTTGCAAATCCTGCGCTGCGCTTTCATTGCTACATTGTAATCTCCATCCTATAACATTATAACATCCATCCTATAACGCGGGGACAATTTTCAGGGACTGGGTAAGAAGGAATTGCAATTGCAATACAGTAATTGCAGTAGAAAGAATTATAAATTGCACTGATCTTTTATTGTTACATTATAATCTTCATCCTATAACACGGGGACAGTTTTCAGGGACTGGGTAGGAAGGAAGTGCAATATAAAGAATTATAAATTGCGCTGATCTTTTATTGTTACATTATAACCATTTATCTTATAACACAGGGACTTGTCCCAGGCACTGTGCAGGAAGGAATGACACTGTCTGCCATTAGTGTGTATGAAAGAAGGAAACCAAATGCAGATTTCAGCAGTTGAAGCTTTGCAAATATTCTTTGCAGTTGAGCTGGATCCAGATGGAGTTTTGTTTTCTTTTTGCCTAATGTCCTAATCAGCGTGGAGCGATTTGATGGCACCCGGGACCCCAAATCTAGAGGGACATCAAACCCCTTTCCCTGCGCTGGGCACTGCCATCTACATCAGACTGGCAGCACCTGCCTGGCCTCCGCTGGACCGATTCAGTCCTATTGCCGAACTCTCAGCAATAGAAATCCCCCCTAGGAAAAAAAGCTTCCACTCCTCATCGTGCTCCCACTCCTGTGACTTCACATGTCAAACTTCATTTAAACTCATAAAATCTAATAGGAGGTCAGTATACCCAAAACATGTACAGGTGTAGATGTAAATAAACAAAACAAAAACGTTTTAAAGTAAGATATATATATATAATTTCATGTAAAGAAAAAAAAATTCCCCGACATAGCAGATCGTTCAATATTTAGAAACAAATGGTGATGACTTCGGTGATGAACGATATTTAGAAAAGACGTGCAGACATTTGTGGAAGGATCTTTATTGACTTTGGTAATGTGTGTGTGATACAACCCATGTAGTATAATTATTGTGTGGTACATGTTAAATATAGTACTGTATTTTGAAGGCAGCAATGCAATATATAAATATTACAAAGTAAATCAATTTATTTAATAATAAAATAATATAATAAAGCTTTCATTAGCAGTATTTTGTGACATATAATAATAATAATAATTAACATGATCTACTTTAATTACTACTACACTGTAATCGGAGTGTTCATCTAGTGAAGATATTTACAAACCTTTAGCACAAGGATAAGGATCGTTATTTGGCTATGTATCTGTAATCTTCAAATCTCACTGCGCGCAGCGGAAAATGTCACTTTTTCTTTTTAATAAATATAATTACCCTGGTGTATTAGCTTTGTGAAATGAGCCTTGTGGTGTTTTGTGTAGTATTGTTGTTGTGGTGCGTCATTAGATAAGTACTGTGTGTTGTTAATTATCAATATATATTATTGGTTTGTGATCTTTGCGTCCTTTATGTAGCACTTTCAGAAGTTACTTTTTTTGTATATTTGGATAAACGTGCAGACATCTGTACATCGCTTCCTATGGTAATGTTTAGGGTTATGTGTGCAGTATAATTGTGTGGTACATATTTAATGCCGGCAGCACTGTTTACTAAAGATTTGTGTTCTAGAAGAACCATATTGTTGTATATAATGAGGCTGATTTACTAAAAGAAATAGAAGCTGTTCACCGATTAATCCTGACCTTGTTGGTAAATAAGGAGAAGCTGTGTTCACTCTGAATAGCCAATCATGTGCTACCAGAAATCCTTTATTTTTCTTTCTAACTTCCCTTGCACCCGATTGGTTGTGTAAAGTGAACATGTTTACCTTATGTACTAACTTATTACTACTTTGCAAAGTAAATTATTACACTTTGCTAGATGAACAGCCCCCCATTCCTTTAGGAAATGTATCTCACATTATATACAAATGTAACACACATATACATCAATGAATATACAATACTGCAGGCTAAATATTATACAGGAATCACGCAATTACAGTGTAGGTGTATGAACAATTACATTGAAAACGCGGTGTACCCTTGTCTTGGTGTATGCACAGAATATTATGCTTTGTATGTTTGTGTATTGTTTTAGCATTGTGTATCTGTGGTGTGATTACAACTGTGTCATTATTTGCATGCAGTGCGAATAATATGATGATTGCATTAGTTATATAGAATTTTTGCACATCAATTAATATGAGTGTGCAATAGATATGAGGTCAGTAAACATTTGTCTGCAGCATATGATCGTATGTGTGTGTCTGTGTGTGATCAGTGTGTTTGTGTATTATATACTTGTGTGAGTCCTTTAACATTATAATGCACCTTATACAACCTTATATATGAGGTCAATAAACATTTGTCTGCAGCATATGATCGAATGTGTGTGTCTGTGTGTGATCAGTGTGTTTGTGTATTATAGAAGTGCGTGAGTCCTTTAACATTATAATGCACCTTATACAACCCATGTGTGCCTAATATTACTGTACAGTGGATGTTTATTATACATCGTTATGTATCAATGATTGCACTGTTTTCTGTACCTTCATGGTGACAGTCAATCAATGACTGCATCATCATCAATGGTGTATCATCAATGTGCGCCCTTTATACAAGTGTTTGTATTATACACCTCTGTGTGTCAGATAATAATTCTATTTAGTATCTTCTCTAGATTTGTGTGTCAGTTCACATTTCTGCTCATGAATGTTGTTTTATATAGTTTTCCATACTAGTAAACATGCGTTTATAGTGAGTGTATTAAACACAAAATAGTGTGCAGTGTGTGTATAAAAGATCCGCATTCAGTACAAGTTGCACGTTTCTGTATGTGAATTATTGATGTGCAGAATGTAGTTTATATCCTTGTCTGTCTGTACCAGTTTGGATATATTTTATACCCCAGTGTGCCAGTTTGGATGTATTTTATACCCCTGTGTACTAGTTTTGAATGTATTTTATATCCCTGTGTGCCAGTTTGTATATATTTTATACCCCTGTGTGCCAGTCTGGATATATTTTATACCCAGTGAGGCTGATTTACTAAGTAAGTTGAAAATGTTCACCGAAAGAGTGAAGAATAACTACAATTATCCAACAGTGTGCAAATGAAATAAGAATGTAATTTTACATGATTGGATAATTGGATGGAATCTTCACTCTTTTTATTTGGTAAACATTCCCAACTTCTTTAGTAAATCAGCCATTTTGTGTCTGTATATGTTCCACTATATGGTGTACCCTTGTGTGTCTGTATTTGTTTGGTTGTATATATTGTAACACTGTGTGTCTGTATTAGTTTGGATGTACAGTAAACTCCTTGTTATCCGGCACGGGATTGGTAGATTTGGGATAACTGAGAGTCTATTTTATTTTGTACAAACATGCAGTGCTGGTCTGGATTTATTTTGTACCAGTGTGTGTGTGTCCATACCTGTTTGATTGTATACTGTAACTGTGTCTCTCTGTATCTGTTTGGATTTATTCTGTTTTCCAGTGTGTGTCTGTACTGGTTGGGTTGTATGCGGTAACAGTGTGCATCTGTATTTGTTTGGCTGTATTTTACACCCTTGTGTCTCTGTACCTGTGTGTCTGTATTTGACACCCTTGTTTGTCTGTACCCGTGTGTCTTTACCTGTGTGTCTGTATTTTACACCCTTGTGTGTCTGTACCTGTGTGTCTGTACCTGTGTGTCTGTATTTTACACCCTTGTGTGTCTGTATCTGTGTGTCTGTATTTTATACCCCTGTGTGTCTGTATTTTATACCTTTGTGTCTGTATCTGTGTGTCTGTATTTTACACCCTTGTGTGTCTGTACCTGTGTGTATTTTATACCATTGTGTCTGTACCTGTGTGTCTGTATTTTACACCTTTTGTGTCTGTACCTGTGTGTATTTTACACCCTTGTGTGTCTGTACCTGTGTGTCTGTAGTTTATACCTTTGTGTCTGTATCTGTGTGTCTGTATTTTACACCCTTGTGTGTCTGTACCTGTGTGTATTTTATACCATTGTGTCTGTACCTGTGTGTCTGTATTTTACACCTTTTGTGTCTGTACCTGTGTGTCTGTAGTTTGTACCTGTGTGTCTGTACCTGTGTGTCTGTATTTTACACTCTTGTGTCTCTGTACCTGTGTGTCTGTATTTTACACCTGTGTGTCTGTACATGTGTGTCGGTACCTGTGTGTCTGTATTTTATACCTTTGTGCCTCTGTACTTGTGTGTCTCTATTTTATGTCTCTATACCTGTGTGTCTGTATTTTACACCCTTGTGTCTCTGTACCTTTTTACTGCCCATAGATATAAGAGTGCTTGATTTATTAAATGAGTAGAGCAGGGGTAGGCGACCTCGACACTCCAGCTGCTGTGGAACTACAAGCCCCATGAGGCATTGCAAGACTCTGGAAGCCCCAGGCCTGACTCCCAGAGGCATGATGGGATTTGTAATATCATCCCAGCTGGGGTGCCGAGGTGGCCTAGTCCTGAAGTAGAAGCTGTTTATTTAACACAGCAAATGTTCCCTTCAAAAAGTTTACGCTCTCTTTGCAAAACAAAGGCTAGTATTGACCTTGAATACCCAACCCAGTCCAAAGAAAATGTCAAAAAACAAGACTCTTGCTGGGACATGATTGGTTGGTTGGACTGAACACAGCTTTGTCTTATCTACTAAGCTCCGTGAACAGTCTCTATTCCTTTAGTACATCTACCCCATTGCTTGCCGGACGTCTGGCCTTTTCTATAAAAATGGAATGCAATGCAATTTCTGCTACTGGGGAAATCATGTTTGCAAAATTAGATATGAGACATTCATTGCCCAATAATCAATGCAGGTACACAAAACGTCATGCGTGTCTCGACTTCACATG